TGCAGATGTTTTAAGGTTATAAAGGGCATAATAAATGTTTAGTCAAAATATATTTGCTTATCCCCTCCAAAAACTTGATGACGTCAGCTCGAAAATTTGCCGAATAAATCATATCTAGAATGTACAAAATATGATCAGTCTGTACTTGTGATCTATCACTCCATTCATATTTTTTGGATTTGCATATACAGGGTGATTCAAGAAAATAAATGAAAGCGTAAATTTATTTTACTGATTTACTCAGGAACTACAAAACCGAATGCTTCGAAATCTTGAAGACATTTCAAAATTATCATAAGCATGGTAAATTTTTGATCAAAAGGTATTTGGTCGTCCCCCCTAAAAAATTTATGATGTCACCACAAAATTTAGCTGAAAAAATCCTATCTAAAATGTACAAAATATGGTGAGTCTCTTCTTGTGATTTATCATTCCATTCAAATTTTTTCGATTTGCATATACAGGGTGACTCAAAAAAATTAATGAATGCGTAAATTTATTTTATTGATTTAATCAGGAACTACAAAACCGAATGCTTTGAAATCTTGCAGATGTTTTAAGGTTATAAAGAGCATAATAAATTTTTAGTCAAAATATATTTGGTTATCTTCTACAAAAAACTGATGACGTCAACTCAAAAGTTTGCCGAATAAATCGTATCTAAAATGTACAAAATATGATGAGTCTGTACTTGTGATTTATCATTCCATTCATATTTTTGGATTTGCATATGCAGGGTGACTCAAAAAAATTAATGAAGGCGTGAATTTATTTTATCAATTTAATCAGGAATTACAAAACCGAATGCTTTCAAATCTTGGGAATATTTTAAAGTTATTATAAGCATGGTAAACTTTTGTTCAAAATGTATTTGTTCATCCCTCCTAAAAAAATTGATGACGTCACCCTTAAATTTTGCTGAATAAATCCTATCTAAAATGCAAAAAATATGATGAGTTTGTACTTGTGATTTATCATTCCATTCATATTTTTTAGATTTTCTTAAGAGGTGGTTCAAAAAAATTAATGAAGTCAATTTATTTTATTGATTAAATTAAAGGCAACACTTATTATTAGTATTACACCCCAACCAACCCAATTTGGTAGACACAAAATTTGTTAAAGGAAAAACTCGGTTGAAACATAAGGGTAGCACGCTTATTTACATCGACTTTAACATTACAGACCTGCATTTGTTATATGCGTTCACTTGATTCCGCGAATGTGAAATAGACATGTTTATAATCAACCAATTGTGAATTTCACCGTCAAGAATTAAAATAAAACCCAATGTTTTATATAATAAGCGGAAGTCAAAGCAATAAAACCGACGGTCGTTTTGTTTACAGTTTCTCTGTTTGGCTCTCACGTATGCTGTTGCGCCTGTCATCTTAAATTAAGAATGTTTATACATACACGATTTTCAGTTGCCTCTGATACGTAGGTATACGTGAGTAAATTGTTTCGTTATTTTATTGATTATTACAAATCAATATTCAAACGACCCAATTCATTTTCCCGAAAATTTGAGAATATAATAATTTTATTCTTAGTATTACACTACATCTATCCCAACTGATATACGTGTCCTTGCAAAAATGTTGATGACGTCATCGCAATTTTTTTTTAAATTCCCACTACAAAAATGTAATGAGAAAAAAAACACAATAGGCATGCAGTCGTCAAGTTTCCGACAGCGAGGGAAGTACTGTCTAAACTCTTTAGACCAATTTTTTTGTATAGCGGCTGAAGTTTGGGCATTTTAAGTTAAGTTGTTTGTGTCAAAAAACGTTTCATATGGACCCCATGGAAGGCATTACGAATAAAATTCATAATTACGCAAGAGTGAGTTGTTGATTTATTCTGTGCAATAATTATATACCATTATATTTTGTAGCGCTCTTCTACCCGTGCAATTGGACTATTGTTGACAACATCGTGGCACAGAAAACGATTGCCAATGCGTATTCATTTTTCAAGAAGGAAAATTTCAATTTAAGATGGCCCACAGAGGTTGTTACTTCAATATAATTGTCTTTGTTAAACTTGTTTATTTGTGCTGCATTTGCTTTTATCTTAAACACAAACTCAAGGCAGCTGTAGTTCCTTGAGTGTAGCGCAAACAATTTAATTTCAATTTAATATACATATTTAATATGTTAACCACTTTTGCTGCGCAAAACTAAAACAGTTGTTGTTATATTTGGTAATGTATGTACACATTTAGTGTAGGTACGTAATGTTATTCGAAGTGTATGTTGCAGTATAGATAATATTGTCTGTTGGAAATAAATTGTGTTATTATTAAAAGTAATTTTACGTAGTTCAACAATAAATTGCCTTTGGCACTACTTTTTATAGCGGTCTATTTGGTGACTTTTCTGTCAGCTAATCTATCGGTGGAAATACTATAACATTAAATTGGTTGGTAAATAATTCAGTTGACGAAATGTCAGTATGTAACCAGGTTTCGGTTAGGTATCCATTTTAGAGGAACGAACGTTAAGAAAAAAATTCAGTGTATTTGAACTTAAGCCTCTATCTAACATTTTGATACAAAATTTCAAAAAATGCTGCACGATAAATATTTGTCTAGTGGAAATTGACTGATGTTTTGTAGAAACAATTTGCGGTATACCTACCGTTCAAATATTTAAGTTTTGTATATTTATCTCCGGTACTTAATCTTCTCTTGAACTCCTTTCTTAATAAATAAACCATGTTTTCTTGCATTTTAGTTAAATCTCTGTCAACATTATCCACACGAGGGAGCGTAATGAGTTTAGTTACAGCATGTATATCAACTTGTTAATAACAACATCATCCATCCACGTCGTTGCCTTTCCTCAACTTCATCAAACAGTTGATTGTCATTGATGATATGACTCTCATTTATGACACCTAGTGAAGAAGACTTCACTTTGATGTTTTTTATCCCATTCACAGAACGAAATCGGAGTATCATTTCTCAGTGTACTTGGCAAATTGTATGCAAGACTTCTCGAGAAAAAGATCAGAGTGCATGTGGACTAGTTAATGGAAGAAGCACAATGCGGTTTTACAAAACAAGAACGAACACAAAATCTGATATTCACGATGACCTAGTTGCTAGAGAGAACAATAAAAACAACAAAGTACCACATATGCCTTACATAGGTTTAGAGGAAGCTTTCGACAAGCTGAAGAAGATAGAAATATGAAAAGAGGAATTACTCATATAATATGTTGAAGCGCTTAAAATCCAACTTCGAAAAATTCACAACTTGGCAAGGAATGACCTTGGCCCCCGTGTATCTTGGCAATAGACGATGAGGTAATAATTAAGTGGGGTATAGAAAATTAGAAGCAACTGAAATTAGTGAGTGGGTATTTGCAGAGGACACAATGATGAGTGTAAGATTAGAACGGGAATACAAAACAATTTAAACATAAATCAAGAAAGGGAAAATTAGGTCATGAAGCTGAGCGTGGACAAAAGAAGGACATCCATTATAACAAAACAACAACGAACAAGGAACATACAATAGTATATTATTAACTAAGGTTGTGAAGACAGACATTCTAGACCGAGCGCAAATTAGAACCTGAGACGCGCAGCGTCGAGGGCTCTAAAGCGCGAGGTCTAGAATTGGCTTCACAAACGTGGTTAATATACTATTTTTTCCACTAGTAGCCCATTTGAGGTTTGCGAATTTTCAAAATGTTTTTTCTGAAGTGCATCAATAAAAACGTGTACTCACGTCATTTTAGTAAGCTTTGGAATTTTATTATTTTTTGACAATCCAGAAATGGTCCAGAACTTTTGTTTTAATTTCCTCCATATTTCCCGTTTTTAATAAATTTTTGTGTGAAAAATGTTGTAAAGTGAACCATCATGTACCCCTCCTCATTCCGTCGTACTTACGCGACCGCGACAAATTTGGCTGAAAAAGGTATGGACCTTTTATCGTTAAAGCGACACGGGGAATGGAAATCCTCCAGCATAGCAGAAGGATACAACGACGGGTCGATCTTCAATAAAAAACAAAATCGCCGAAATCGTCCAAAGCTCATCTACGGCAAATCAAGTCAAACCAAATCGGAACCATGATTCAGTTTCAGTCCCGTAAACTTCATTTTCACTCCCATCAACTTCATCAACTTTGTTTCACCAATTTATCTTCAATTTATAATCAATTCAGGGTTTGGAAATCATTCCAGGGCATAATTTAAAAGCAAATTTTCCAAAATGATCGTTTTCAGGTTGTCTCAGTTTTTCTGACAGTTGTGGACAGTTGTCACATTAGGTGGCCAACTTCACGTTTACATTATTGACCAAGGTTCACAATTTTCCAAATTACAGACCTCTAGACAAGTCGACAATTAGCCATTGTAATGCTACTAGTGGAAAAAATATATATAAAGTGGAATTAAAGCACCGTTCGGCGGTTGCTTAGTTACCATAGAATTAAATCATTTTAATTTCTTTCCATTTCTGTGCAGGTGTGTGTTGGAGTTCGAAAATAGGGAGAAATAAAATATATTTGTTGATTTTATTCGTGGAAGCTCAGGATGAACTTATTTTAAATAAAACGTATTCCTTAGTGGTACATTTTAATTAAAACAATAATTACCGCAAACAGAATACCTGCAGCTGAAGTAAACTTACTTCCACTTTGAAAGCCGCAACCGACACCGAAACCTTGTTAGTTTTTCCAATTAATTCTGTTTTCACAACAAAAGATGTTATCTATAGACACAATGAATGCCCCAGTACATAAATCAAGTTAAGAAACGATGAAATAATTCCTTTTATATCCACAAAACTTAATAAATTACACTCAAAGGAGCGGATTTTCTTTGAAAAAATAATGCATATTTAATGGGCGCCGCTAAATCCGCGGATTTCACTTTAACAAATATTAGCGAAAGTTCCTTCGACCGAGGAAAAAATTAATCTAGTCAAGACATAAATTGGCACGTTTCGAGATAAGTCACGGAAAGAAAAGACTCGTTATTACCTTCGTCCTGCGGAGAGGCCGTTTTCCTTTGTACCAGGTGATAACTGCAGGAGGTCGGGATCCTGCCGACTCGCAGGTCACTTCGTATCGTTTTTCGGCCACCAGAGGGCTCACAGTCTTCAGGATCCGGGCCGTGAGGGGCTTAACTGTAACGAAATAAAAGCAATAAAGACTCTGATGGACACGTGTTTTTTACTACAACGCTAATCCGGATTTATCGGTCTTTCGACATGACAAATCACAATAATTTTTCCGCCAGAGATGAAGATAGAGATTTGTCAATGGGACGGCGAAAACAGCCCGATCGATTGGGAGGGCTCGAGAGCGTGGTGACACGAGTTAATTGAATTTTTATTCTTTTATGATGGAGCAAAGAGGCCGGGGAGATGAAAGCAAGGAGACGGGGCGCGCTTAAAAAAGATAATAAAAAGTAATTATATTTTTATTTTGGGCTTTCACCGAATCGCAAACGGTTTATCTAGATTACGGAAAATTATGGAGAGGTTCGGGAAAAAGTTATGGCTGCTTGTTTTGTTTGCGATTTGGCCAATTTGCAACACAAAAGGCTAATTGTTATCAGGGCGGAGATTTAAACTCAAGCGGAAAGATGGCGGTTTTGCAGTACTTCGAGTTGACCGGATGTAGAAAAAGCACGGTTTTATCAAACATTTTTGTTTTCCTTCAGCTCGTGTAGATGCATAATTTGGTAATAAAAGTTTTGCTAATTCACAAATGTGGCAAATGTTTGGTGTGTACCTACTTCGAAACGTTTTATTGATTCGTTGTTAAATTTATGTACAATGTTTTTGAAAAATACGCACATAAGTTTTCGATAATGGACAAACTAAGAGGGAATTTTTAAATATAAAATTACGTTTTGCATCTGTTTATCTAAATTTTGTTACGACTTCATTAAGTCCAAGAAATATTATTAAAAAACCACCGAAGTTATATTTCGAGTACTTTATTAGGCGTACTTTTAAAAGACGTCGAGCATTGTTTGACTAAATATTGTCTTGAACCATGCTTGATCTCCAAGCTCCTATGTCCATCATTTAATATAATCTTACGACAAATTTTAAATTCGTACACAAAATCTATCTACATGTACAGCGTGTTATTGAAAGGTACGTACAAAATAAAATCGGCAATTGGTCTCCAACTATAGGTGTTAAAATTTAAAAAAAGTTCAGGTAAAAGTGTTCTCCTTTTAGAGATAAAAATTATTAAACTTTACGTCCAAATTCGTTGTACGCTTCTGACAAAAAGATCATCTCTCGTTTCTATAGCAACATTTAGTCTTGACAAAAGTTTTATTGTTACAGTTGCTAGGATTTACTAAAATAAATTAATTTTACCTATTTATCTTTCAGTAGCGTCTAAAAAGGTTGGATAAGAGTTAATTTTCCCCTTATAAGGGTGTGGGGACAAAAAATCTGCACAAATTTCAAACTAGAATAACTGTATTATAAAAGCATGTATTAATAATGTGATCAACAACATTTATAAAAACAACTTTAAAGAACACAATCTGCACCATATCTGCTTGCTTTACGAATTTTTGTTTTAATACGGCGCATTAAATTTGTAAAAGCCGATATTTTTGTTTGCCGTATTTTCAGCAGTATACGCTTCTTTAATTCTGCATGTGTCGAGGCTTCCCATCCATTTTCGTACACATTCCTCTTTAGATTTCTCCAAAAACGTTCAATTGGGCGTAGTTGAGGTACGTTCGGAACATTTTTATCCTTAGGGATAAAAGGAATGTTTAACTAATTATATGCAGCAATAACGTTAGCTGCGTAATGAGCTGTTGCCATGTCTGGACAAAATACAAAATTGCCATCTGAATGCTTTTCTCTTATAAAACGGACAAGTCGAGACCTAATGCACTATTTTTCATAAATATCTGCATTAACAGAATTTCCAGATGGGCAAATAAACGCAGTAGAATGTCCACGTGAAGAAATGGCCAACCAGACCAACAACTTGGACTGAAATTTTTTGTGACGTTTGAATTTCACTTTCCCATCTACTTCTTCTCCTTCCTTACAATAGAAATGTTTATTGTTAGCAGTATCGCTACCATCAAAAGTGAAGTAGGATTCGTCATCGATGATTATTTCAGTACCATTTGAGGGAAAAAAAGCGGATTCAGAAAGATGCCTTAATTTTCGTTTTTGTTCCAACTTTTGTTTTTCTGAATATTTGGGAGCGGATTTTCGAGTTGCAAGTTTAATATTATTCTCCTTTAATATGTTGCTAACATACTTTTTGTCGATTTTAAATTTCCGTCCAAGCTTTCTTAGTGAAATACCAAGTTTACCGTGACTTTGATTGACTAAGGCTTCTCTCTTCTTCTGGGGCATTTTTCTTGCTGGTCTTCCGCTTCCTACTTGTCTTTCTACCGAATTCCCATTCTCTACTCTTCTGCAAATGCTATAAGTTGTCCTTTTTTATATCCCTATTTGGAAGAAGTGATTAACGGTGAATGACTTTTTTAAATGCATATGCTTTCTATAAAATTTGGCAATCACAGATCGGCGATCATTTTCATTTAAGTCTTCCATTATTACAAAAAATATTGAAACTTTCAAGAGGAACTAGGCATAACAATTTTTAATAACTGCCAAAAAATGTCATAACGTCAACCGTCATTTTTCTCAAAGCTAACTCGATTTTCGGTAAATTAAAATTTGTGCAGATTTTTTGTCCCCACACCCTTAATTTTGATAACACAAAATAAGTTTTTCAGACTTCTTAAACTTCACTATGAACTGTTAATTTTGTTGTACGTATCTTTCAGTAACACCCTGTATATGCTAAGATCACTTTAAAACTATACAGATAAATTTTTTTTGACAAAAGTAAAAGAAATAAACACAGTTTATTTTTCTGCACAAAAATGGAAAAATTATAATATTGAATAACTATATTTTTCAAGGGGTTCTAAAACACTTTTTGTAGAAGTATATTATTTTGGAAGTGATGTTCTTTATTTCTCTAAATATTTTGTTATCTAAACGATATAACTAAAGAAGCATAGATTTACGCTAAGGAACAAGAGCTTTTTTCGGACAAAATTAACTAGGTCGAATTTGTTTCACAAAAAAAAAGTTTTCCTTAGTTAATTCGGATGATAGTCCAAAATAAAAGCATATATAGGTACTTAGTTCGGAAAACATTTTTAAAAAGAAGATCGCCTCTTGCATAGCTTGACGAATCTTAATTTTCTAGGCAAAATGGTGATGGTGCCAGAATAATCATTGATTTAAAAACTTTTATAAACTTAGGGTAAATTATAATATGTCTCTATAAATATTTTATTAATTGATGAAAATATGAAAACTAATACAAATTTGAAATAGACTAAAGAAAACTTTTTGGGCAATACATTCGCCAACTGTAATATTTTACGTTTCTAAAAGTTGTGGTTCTCAGGATAATAACTGACGTCAAAGATTTTCTACATGAAATAACGTTATACAAATCAATGTACATTTCTTTATACATCTTGATGTATAAAGTAAAAGTAGTACAGATTTAAACCAAAACAAACGAGTTTGTGTTGAGCCTGAGTTGGACAATTTAATTTTTTGCAACGAAAAGTGTTTTTTCCATGGTTTGAGAAAGTGCACCAAAATATTTAGAGCTGTTTTAGGATTATGAAAAAAGTTCCTCTAAGAATAATGAATTTTCAAAATAATAATGTATAAAATGTTCTTTGTACCTATCTGAATAAAATAACGAAGCGAGCATCGAGTTGATTTGATACAAATAAACCTCGCTAGTTAAAGGAAATGATGCCGAAAAGCCAAAATGAGCACAAAAAAAAATCGTATACAAATAGTTGTTTTTGAGATTGATTTGAGAGTATTCTATTGAAAATGGTGGAGGTGCCGTGGAAATTAATTTTGAAATTGCTTTTTCGGAAATTTTCATAACACTTCTAGATGAAACTGTATGCTGTAGAAGAAATTATGCAGTTTTTAAATTATCTTTATCTCAATGGAATAACAAAACGAACGCGCATGGATATTTGTGACGAATCAGTTTTCTGTAAATATTTTGATCCTTCAGAAAACAAGTAATTTGATCTAGACTAACTCGAAGAATGTTAAGAATGTTTCTACGTTTTTCGCAAAGATGTCTCAAAAATACGTAGACAATCTTGAGACGGAAAAAATATATGTTGTCCAAATTTAATAGTTTGTATAAAAATCATCAAAATACCATGAAACTAATTAACTAAAAAAAAATCAAGAATTTTTAAAACACTTCTTAATGAAATTACGTATGTTTGACAAACAATCGAAACATTGAAACGAGGTAAAACCGCGCCAGCTAGAGTCCGTTAAAGAAATTAATTTTATTTAAAGAAGCCTAGAAAACCAGTAGAAAAAATTTGAAACTGAAAATGCTATGACCTTATCAAAAAAAAAAACTTTGAGGTAGTCAGATTTATGTTCGAGTTTGTCATTTAAGGCTATACACTTTGCACAATTCAATCATTTCCTTATTATCAAACCATTATGGGCCTGACACTTGACGAACGTCACGACGACAAGCACATCCCTCTTTCCAAATCTCACTTTGAGCGAACAGTCGTCGTAAAATATTCCCGAGTAAACTTCGCTCCTCAAACCGAACATATCCCAAACTTTATGCACATTCCGCACACATATCTTTCTTTAAAGCTGTCCGTTTTATTGTCAACCCTTTATCACAATATCCGTCATCCCAGCCATTGTAAATTCCCAAACTTACGTAACAAATCCAGGACGACCGAAGCCGTTTTCGGTTCGGTCAGCACCGTGTTGACAGCTTGACACGTGAAGATGGCATCCAGATCCTTTCTGGTGACGCCGGCCTTCACCAGCCTGTTCTCGATGACATCGCCGGCGTTATGCTCGTACTGGTCGTCGACGATGTCGGCGTTGATCAGCCAGCGGACCACCGGCTGAGGGTGGCCGCCCACCGTCCGACAGGTGAGAGTGATGTCGTCGCCTTCTTCGTGCGGCCCCACGGTTCCGTTTAACTGACGGCCCCACTTGTCCAAGATGGTAGGCTGTTCCGGCGGGACTGTAAGAAGAACGAAGTGGACAATTAATTTCTTTGGAAGGACGAGGAGGGCGATTCCTGACCGCTCGTTGACGCTAATTGAACGAATTAAGTCTACCGGAGTGGAAGGAGCGGATGGGTATTTTTCTTGGAGGATTTAATAACGGGGATGGTCTGGGAAGTGGATGTGTTTGCGAGAGAGACATGGAGAAATCCGGGGGATGAAAAGATCGGGCTTGATTAAGGTTGTTTATTGTTGGCCGTCTGACGAGTAATTAATATATTTTTAATGGGACGCGCATTTCTGGAAGGCTTTTTAGTCCATATGGCTGGGTGAAAGAGGGACAAAAGAAAATATAGTCTATTTCAAGTAAAATTTAATTGTACGTTATGTGGCCAGAAAGTTGCAGAAACTGTAATTTTATTGAATATGGTTTATTTTTTTCAGGAATCGTTCGATTAGGTCTAGTCAAGCCAAGTCAGGTCATGTTACGTCAGGTCGGAACAGGTTAGGTCAGGCTAAATCAGGTCAGCTCAGCTAGGTCAGCTAAGGTTAGGTCAGGTCAAGTTAAACAGGCACTGAAAAAGTGCAAGAACAAGAAAGCTCCCAGCCTGGACAGCATAAAAATCGAAATTATTAAAGCGGTGGCTGGAGGAAACCATCACTTCCAATTCCGACCAATATGCATATGAAATAGTATTAGCAAACTATATGAAAGGCTAATAAAGGCACGGCTGGAATCCGAAACACGAGATAACGGGGATCTTTCGGAACACCAATATGTGTTTAGATGTGGAAGGAAAACTTTAGACGAATTCTAATACGTGCTACAAAGAGCTGAAGAAACAAAGTGGGATATAAGAATAAGCCTCCTTGTTACGCTTGACATTTCTAACGCCCTTAACTCAGTCAGCTGGGAAATCATAGTGGAATAACTAATAAATAAAAAGATAAGCAATCATATAATAAGATTCATCCAAGAATATTGCTAAACAGACAAATAAAAACAAATAGAGGACGAGTGTTTAAAATAACATGCATAACAAGTTCTACAAGGGTCAGCATTAGGCCCAATATTGTTAAACATACTGTATGACAAAATATTAAAAAAAATGCCCCAAAGGAACTAGCTTGGTCGCTTTCGCCGACGACTTGATCGTTGTAGTCAGCGCAAAAAGCGAATTACAGCTACAAGAAAGTGCAAAAAACACAATCCAACTTGAAAGAGCTGCACAAAATGGAGTTTTCATTAAATTTTAAAAAGACGGAGCAGTTCTATTGTCTGCTAGAAGGAAACTGCTTGAATTAGAAGTGACGATCTCAGAAAATTTCCAGTTTAAAACACAAAGACAAATAAAATATCTTGGCTTGATACTTGATAAAGATGTGAGAATGGCTACACATGTAGACCATGTGACTAGTCATGCAGAAAAAAAAGGTGCAACACTAATACGAGCAAACATTGGAGACCTCGAAGAAACAACGAGAAGGATTTACGCAATGGTGCCCAGATCTGTAGTCATGTATGCAGCCCTTCTCTGGTTAAAAGTATGGAAAATAAATGCCTACAAAAAAAATTAGAAAGACTCAATCGACGCTTTGCTATAAGGATAGCTAGGGCATATCCAATCGTCTACCAACCCTTGAAGTAATGCTAACATGGTTCCGGGGGGGTAGGAGAAAAGCTGGCCGAGGAAGGGGTTTCAGCCGGTAAAAGTCCTGGCACTGCCAGGGACAGTCGAACCTAAGTCCCTGGTGGCCATGGGGGTTTCCCCTTTCACAGAGAAAAAAAAAAGGTCAAGTCAAGTCGGGTAAAGTCGGGACAGGTTAAGTCAGGCTAAATCAGGTCAGCTGAAATCACGGCATACTACGTCAGGTAAGGTTAGGTCAGGTTAAGTCAGACCAGGTCAGCTCAGATCAGTCAAGTCACATCAAGTTCCATAAAACAATGTTGCAAGCGGTCCCGGGGAGAAGAAGAGTTATGGTTATGACTTTTACACTGAATAATGTTTTATGAAATCTAAGTTTGGGTTGAAACTCTGTAGTGCTCAGCAAATAAGACGACTTCAAAAGAAATGTCACTGTTAATAGTACCGCTGCCATCAATAAAAGTTTTGTTTGGAGAAAGAATGAAAGACATAAATACCGGAAGAAGAAAATGCCCTGCTACTAAATAAGAAGAAAGAAATGAACAAACGAAAATTGAAAAGAAGTTTCGAATTTCACAAAATGGAGCGTAACGGTGTAAATGATTTATCATATTAACCTCATTATTATTTGGGGATGGGCGTGTCGGTACTACGTAAACCGGACAGGAGAAAAATTAGCGACAGAGATCTTAGTACAAATTATGGTGGAAGCTGGAGATAAGAGAATTTGAGACAAGAAAAAATGGACGTAATGGATGAAGATGCAAGTGGCAACAATGAAATTAGAGGCAGTGGAATGATAATCGCAAGATAAATTCTGAATAGGGATTTACCATGTTCCTGGTAATCTTAAAAATTTGGAAGATCTTAGATCGGTTGGTGTTGTATTTTCTAAAATTTTTTCAAATTCTTTTATACAATTGTGAATGTTTTTTGCAAAAACCGAGACATGGAAGGTAAAAAGCAAGGAAAGATTAATAAACTAGAAATATAGACGAGTATTGATTTATGAAATTTAAATAGGGGTTAAATGGCGAAGTTTCTATATGACGTCATTAAAATGGGAATGGCAAATAAAGTCTGATTGGCGTTTAACCATCTACACGATAATCTCAGAGGACACCTAAAATTGCACAGCACTCGATTAAATAGCTTGGCAATTACGTGTCTAGTGATATCGCCAACAAACAGACAGACGGAAATGGGTGACTGAATCTTCCCATTGAACAAGCTGTAAAACACGGGAAAATTAGTCGATCATCCAAAGGACGGATTTTGCAATATATACTTAGTTTATTTTTTTGCTATCGTAAAATAAAAAGTATTTCCCGTTTTTATTTGCATATAATATGCACTCTATGTAAACTACTATATATATTTTGAATTTACTCCGTAAATACAAAACCGTATGCTATAATCTGCGAGATAATCAAAATCGTTATTTTTATTCGATCTACAAAATTAATGACTGTGTTTCATGAGCTCATCTGAAAAAGTTTTGCTAGAAAACCTTAAGTAATTAAACCTTCTTGGTGTTTTCGCAAAAAAATGTGTAGAAGACGTCAACACCATTAAGTAACCAAGTTGCAGTGGCTTCTACTTGATAGAGTCGATAATATTGCTGAAAAGTTTAAAATCATGAAACTGATGCCTCAATCTTCCACTTTCCAAACAGAGAAGTTAGAGTTGGGAAAAAATTTCGGGATGAACTTTGTTGGAAACTAATTCACACTTCTTGACACTTATTAACTTTCCTTTCCAAACATACAATAGGGTTAACTGAAAAATCGAAGATTTTTCGAAGTTAATTGTAAAAGTCATAACTAATATGCGGCAAGCGAAACGGGCAGCAGTCACCCTATTCAAATAGCATGTCGGTGTTTCAAACTGAATTGCCTAAATAAGTCAATCTTGGGAGAAGATGACAGCATAATTGTTGAAAAGAGCCGAAAGTTTTTTGAAATTTTTGCTGTGGTGGGACTAACAGTGAATTACTATTATTAATGTAAACAAAGTTTTACCATATTCATACATTTAATTGTTAATGTTGAAAATAAAAATTGCGAAAATGTATTTTAATTTTAAGTTTTATTTCAGTTAATATTTTTTGCTTTTGAAATAGTAAATAGTTGGTAATTTAAAAATCATTACTTATAATGACAATTAGGTTAAGTGTTGGAAAAAGAAGCTGTATCGTACAAGATTTGCAGTTGACGCTACGAACTTATCTAGAAGTCTGAACCAATAAATGATAACGAGAAACTACATTTCACTGGATTTACTCGTCTCAGCTTCCCTCCTGAAAACAGAGCGCCGTTATTACTTCCTGCAGTCCATTCGGATTATAAAAACTAAATCTGCTATTTCCTGCTGACAAATTTTCGCGTTTAGTGTCGGACGCATATGTGCGCAGTTGATATTTTTCCGGTTTTAGAGCGCATAAATCCGGACTCAAGTCACCTGATCTGCACAGTGCGGCGTCTAAAGCTTTTACGCAAGTGTGTATTTGTCGCGGTATTTTTTCATTAAAATTATGAAATATTCATTAAACAGTCGACTTGAAGTTAGCCAATATTTCACGCAACGTTATTGCCAGGAACAATCCAGATAAATCGCGACCAAATCCCCATAATTTAATATTTAAAGCTGTTTCAAATGAAGCCTCAATTTATAAATGGCCGTAGAAGTTTCACAAAGGGGTAAAAGAAACGCAACGATAAGGGCTGCTGCCGAGGTTGCACAATACAAAACACAATGTTTATATTTAATCCGGGGCTATTTATCAGAATTACACACCGAATGGCTGAGCGCTGCCTGAGAAAGATGGACGACCTTGTTCGGAAAAATGAAAATATGATTCCGAATCATTTCTCTCTGACATTATTTAAAATGTCCGGACGTGATTAATTACTTTTTACGTAATTCCCCATAAATATCGGCGCTTGCTACATACACATGTTTCGCCGTTAAGGACGATACTTAAATGATTTATTCTATAGATTTGTTTCCGGTCGGATCGATCGCGTCGACGCAAATTGTTACGACGGGAGAGGCTATTGATAAAAATTTCAAGTTTTTGCAAAGCGCGCCGTTCTGAGTAATTAGATATTAATTTAGGAATCATTAATTAAGAAGATAAATGACCGTTTTAAGATATTAATTAAGTGAAGGGCGTGAATTTAAACGGTTTTCGCGTCTTGGAACTGAGCTCGGTTTGCTTTTGTTTGGGGTTAAAACGCAAAAATTAAATTACCATCAGTTGCAACCGTTAGTGGAAATACTTGCGACAAACTCGTCGTTTGTTACAGATGTACGGCATGTTGCTATTCAAAAGGTTGATACTGAGTTCAACGATTTTCTACAAAATTTGA